ACACACACAAAAACACACACAAACACACACAAACACACACAAACACACACAAACACACACAAACACACACAAACACACACAAACACAAACACAAACACAAACACAAACACAAACACAAACACAAACACAAACACAAACACAAACACAAACACAAACACAAACACAAACACACACACACAGACACATACACATACACATACACATACACATACACATACACATACACATACACACACATACACACATACACACATACACACATACACACATACACACATACACACATACACACATACACACATACACACACACACACACACACCTATCCCGATGATGGACATGGCCAAGGCCCGACAGATCGGTGGATGGGGTGTTCATCGATGGCGACCACTCGTGCTCTCGAGAGGTTGATCCACAAGATGACCGGGTTGGCAGGTTCTCTTCGCGGGATAGTTGTGCTGTCAGGTACTTGCAGGTTCTACGCGACATTGATGCGTGGGAACCCAAGGCCTTCTTCCAGGGGTGTTGAGGACTGAGTTCGGCCTTTGACATTCATGAAGCCCCAGCACTGACTTGGAGAGGTGAAGCTGGGTGGATTTCTGAGTGGCCACGACTTTGGGAACCATCCGGACGTGGTGTGCCTGCCCAGTGCTGTCAGATGTTTGGCTGACTGTTGAACGCTAAATGCAGAGCAGGATCTTGGTCAGGGCTTCGGTTTGGCACGTAGACCACACATGGTCTGATCAAGGCAACGGCTGTTCCTTTGGAAAGATGGCATACTTGGATTTGGATACCGAGGTCAGTTAAGAGACATCCTGCAGCTACATATCGATGCCAAATGTTACGGCTCAAGCAGAAGCTGATCCTCCCACACTTGCACTGTTCTGGGCTGTTCGAAAGGAGAGCGAGAGTGAACCCGTGGTTCACAGCGTGAAATGACCTCGGCAGCCATCCGCGATGTAATTCGACAGCCAGACAGGGAACGAGAGGAGCACCTGGAAGAGGGGTCCTTCCGTATTATGGGGACAGGGTTTTCGCAGGCCGAGAAAAAGAGAAGGATGATGACTCCCTTGAAGGATGCGGGGCACCGCAGCTTCAAGGAATCTCTTTGGGAGGCAATGAATCTAAAGCGGAGAAGCCGCTGGCCGAAAGCTTCCGCGAGTCAGCCTACATCGCATTTTCTTCGACCCGTTGCAGATCGAGGAGGGAAGGAAGCACTGATGCTTCCGCGGCCAGCTGAGACCCACTGAGTTCCAGCCTGCCTGCGCACTCACCCGTGGCTCTCGGAGGATACAAGTTCGTCACGAACGGCGCGCAAACTGTTGCAGCTGCTGATAACAACCTTGTTGGGGAGCTATGTGATGTTGCGAGACGAGGCCACTGAAGCACAGCGTCTTACTGCGGCTGATGAGCAGCAGAAGGCTTCGGACAAGCCAACAGGCCGAAGGACGAGCCGCTCAGTTGGCCGGTCCCAAGCAGAGTTGAAAGACCTTTCACTCGAGTGCAGTCAGCCATCAGCACGAGAAGCTCTGGACAGAGCGGTGAAGGACAGCGCGTGGAGCGTCAACAAAACTGGCCATTCATGCACCCAGGCGAGATTGTTAGCCGGTTGAATGTCGTACATTGGAGTTGTAAGGCACGTGCAGCTTGTGCCTTTAGGCCGTTTAGACTCTAGACCTCTGGCTGACAAGTTTTCCTTGCAGCAAGTCGCCAGTGCTGCTTTCTGAATCGCTATGTCGAAACTGCTAGACACTTCCACAACCCGTCCCATTACGTGCACTTGTGGTGCTAAAGAGTGTTCAGTTTTTTCGTGTAAGGCCAGGGCCGTGCTTGAACGTGCAGCAGAGTTCAACCGGCCGGGGGCGCAGCATGCGTGTTTCTCTCTTCCAGTCTTTCCACATTTCTTCCTGGCTGTCCAGCCTCGATCGAGGGAGGGTCAACTCATGAAGGCAATTGCAGTGCTCATGTCATCGCCAGGTGTGTGATCTGCAGCTTTTGGCATTACTTCTCACTATATCCACTGCATGAGTTAACGGCAAGGGCTTTGTGCAACTCGGCTTAGGACAGTGCATCTCTCAATGGCCGCGGGCCTCAGAACATCTGCAGCCGCCAGTAGATTGGACAAATTGCGAACTTCTCATCTTGCCATGTACCATGGCATGCTTCACATAGCTGCAGAAACAACCGTAGTCGTGGCAGAGTGCTCCACGGAGGATTGGTTCTGGTACTACTACATCTGAAGCAGGCATCGTGCTGACGTACCGCGCCATGAAAAGAATCCGGCCTTGGCCTGCTTGCATTGCGATCAGGGGAAGGTTTGATTGTCCGGGTCTCCAAGCTTGGTCACATCCTTGCTCCTGCACTTCGTGCATGCTGTGCATCTCCACTGCTGACCTGCGCTTCATGCCATGTCGCATGGTCTGTTGCGACGCCATTTAGCTTTCAAGGGGAGGGGCTGAGGCCCGAAGAAAGCATGCAGTCACTCCTAGCAGAGGAATTGCAGTGCTGAGCATCTCTAGGACGCTCAGTACGGGATTGGAAGCGCAAACGCGTGTTAAGACGGTGAAATTGAGATATGGAAGCAGCGACTGGAATGCTTTCTAGATGAAGAGCAGCAGGAAAGACTTGTAAAGGCTTACGACTCTGCGACAAGATTCTGCCAACTTCCAGCCAGTGCCAACCCCACCTGTCCCAAAGCCAGCATCCCTGCAACTTCAAGTACCAGTTTTCTGCACCTAATTTGCTAATTTCTTTGCGACAGCCAGTATGGTGAGGCTCTTCGTTTGCTCGGGGGAGTGGGTGATGATGTGGTTCATTAGAACGACGCGCTTCCTATGACGTTTGGTGGCGAAGCTGATCGTGGCAATGCAGTTGCAGGGTGTACTGATCAAGGACACTGAGAGCTTGAAGGCTTGTCGCGGTGAAGGAGGCCAAGACGTGTTTGGTCCGTTGCAGGTGCTTGTAGCTACTCTTGTGAGCATGGCTAAGGTTTCTGGGTCGAGGCCTAGGTACGATCCTAGGGTTGCAGCCAAGGTTTGCCAAAGAGGCACCTAGCAGGTTTGTGGAACTTTATAGTAATTGAGTATGCAGAGCAGCATGACCAGCCCCACCAACACCACTGCAACAACAAACAGAGACACGACGGTAACGATGACAGTGAGGATGACGGCGATGACAGAGGGTGACGACATCGACGACAACAAATACCAACCCGCAACACACAATCCCTTTCCTGCATGCGGCAGTACGAGCGACATGCCGAGCTCCGGCCCTCAGGAAGCAGTGCTAGAAATGCCCGTTCGCAACTGTGCCAATTCGTGTCAAGTTACTGACCATTTGGACCGCTTCTGCCGACTATCGTTTCATTGGTTTGCAGCGCTTTCTCTTGTCCTGGTCTGGTGACCCACTCTTTCCTGGAGAGCTCAGATGCCACGACACTTTTTCAGACGTGCTCGTTTAGGGTGACAGCTCAGGTCTTGGGCGAAATGGTGGGGTCTACCAAGAGGCCTCTTTGAAGCTGAAGAGGAAAGCTTGGAGCTAGTGAAGTTTTGGATGGGTATTCGCCTTAGTGCACAGAACTTCACTCAAGCCAGGGTTGAGGCGAGTCGTGATGGCCGTTGTCCAGTCTTCCGAATCTCCAGCCTGCTGGATTGGTGTGCTTGCTTCCTGAAAACTCTTCGTCACCACCGGCCACATCCCGAAAATGCCCTGCGCTTGCATCTCCAATTGCTTGTTTGTCCCATGCCAGGTTCCTGACACTGTCTATCCCGGCTCTACACCAGGCCGGAGTGCCAGCATGCGAAATCTGCTTGATTGACTCTCGGCGATCACTTTCTGCACAACCGGGCGTGGCTGTCCAGGGGTCAGGCTTCACGTGTCCAACTGTGGGGTTGCTTAAGACTGGGGAGTCTTTCGAGTGACCTGCATCTAGAGAAGCTCGTGGGAACTTGACGCGAGGTCAGGGTCCGATACATGTATGGTCTAGGGTCTAGGGCCTAGGGTTTAGGGCTTAGGGTTTTTGCCAGAGTCTGGGTTCGAAAAGGGATTGGAGCTCTTCCATGCATGGTCAAAGCGGTTTGATCGAGTCCTCAAGGCTTGGAGTCCTAATGGTTCCTGTCGTCACCAGTCGTGGGCTGGCTTCATGACATGTTTTAGCTTGTTCCCGGTCGCGTTTGACAGGGATCCCGAAGTGCAGTGCCACACACGCTTGGAGATAAATGCGCGCGATCTGTCACTTCGTCCAGCTTGTTACTTTTTGCATTCAGGTGTGATTTGGCATCGCACGGAGCCCCAGGATGAGTGCACAAAGTAACGATGGTAGCAAGAGCAGCAGAAAAAAACGGGTGCAGAGAGGCTGGCAGATCTCTATTTCAGGCAATGGAGATAGCCACCCACCCGCAAGAGACATGTCATATGTCCCACCTGTGATAGATCATTAGGCTTTGCCGTTTCTCCCCGATCCCAGTGAGAGGTGACCCAGCGACGCCTTGCACGGCCCTTCCTCCGCCTACTGTGGCCTCGCGTTCTGATGGGTCCGTCACGACCAAGGCGAGTAAAAACCTATGGGCATCTCTGGTTGATCATGGTGCTGCATTTTGTCCAGGCCATTGGTGGTGTTATTCCGAAGCCTCACTTGGCGACGTCCGTCGTTGATCGTGATGTGGGGGTTCATGTAATGCTGGGTGGCGGATAGAGAGTCGCGGGTCTGCAGATGAACTCCTTCGCAGGCGTATCAGTGGCGGATTGGCGAGCTAGAGGAGGGTGACAAGGCCACAGCTGTCCAAATCAGACACCGCGGTTCATGATGGTCAAGAAGCAGGTGGCAGCAGTCAAATCAACGCGATTCGCATGTGTACCACTTTTGTTCTTCTGGGCCGCCATGCAGTGCTTTGTGCAGGATGTCCATGTAACATCTGAGCTTTTGGAAACAACTCGGTCATGCAGTCTTTGTGAAGATGTTCAACAAAGGTGACTGCAGCATCGTGGCTGCTGTTTCTGACTTGATCCCTCTGCGGCCTTGAGCCGGCCCTTGAATTTGTGCAGGTGGAGTATTTCAGCAACACCCAGAAGAAGTACATCGCGGCTCAGGTCGCTGCTTTCTGACGAGTGGGGTAGTTGGAGACGCTCATAGCCTGTCATATTTCAACAACCACCTGTGCAGCCAACAGGACATCGCCTTCGAATGGCACCATAGTAACTCATAGTATGCCCGCGCACGCTCCAGACTCCAAGAGGCCTTACCCAAAACATGCGGATGCATTCCAGATGCACCCCGATGTGCCTTGAACGAAGTTGCATGGCTGCGCGTCAAAGCTTGCGAAAGCGTAGAAGTCATATCCTACCGGCCAGAGCTTGCATTTCTTTTCTTCGTGGCGAGAACTACAATACAACAGATCCACACATTGTGAGATATCTAAGTCCGAAGCAAAGAGACAAGAGACACCCACGTCAAGTGGGACAGAGAGAGATCCTGCCGATGCGGCTTCCGTGACCTCTGTGTTTTCGCATGCTTTTTTTGAGGGGTTTTCATGTACCCAGTGTGTGCGAGCACTTTTGTGCTGGAGCACCGCAGGTCCAGGCAGTCACCGTAGGGCAGGACAGGGCGAATCTTGAGGTACTGTGGATGCAGAGACCGTGAGCTGTATGTTGTGAAATTCTGATGTGCTGCTCGGGACGTCTTGCGAAAGCTTTCGATTGAGAGGGTGCTGATGTGTGTAGTGCACTAATGTGTGTTGACCGTGTTGCGGTTGGGTGCCACCATGCATAGCCTTCCGCTTGAACTTGGCCCTCGCGTTCGTCACCTCGAATCGAGCATTTCGGCACAGTGAATAGTTGTGCGCTTGTTCGCAGGATGGCTTTATTGCTTCTGTTGACCTGGACTGCAAGAAGCGTGCCAAGCCGGGCAGGAACCTCAGAGGAGTCGAATCCTGCGCAGGTCACAAGGTAAGTTTTTGGTTCATTCCACAGCACGCTCTCCTTCCGGCGAAAGCTTTCGTAAGCGCCAGCAAGCTCAAAAGGCCTTAAAGAATTTGAAGAACCCCTCAGGAACGTGCATCGATGGGTTGCTGGAGAACAGTGGCTGCTGAAGTTTACATGCAGCATAGTGTCATGCAGCGCTCATGCGGAGGATAACGTCCTACAGTTACAGTTCAGTCATGCACGGTGGAGCTGCAGGAACTGCTTGGATCTGTTATTCTGCTCAAGGCCAGATTCGGCAAGTGCCGCCGAAGGTGAAGGAGCCGTTTGAATTGACTTGCACTTTAGCCCGTGGTTGAGGTTCATGTGTTACTGGTTTTGACATTGTTGCACGTTTTGCTGTCGTAAACAAGCTATCATCTTGATGACGAGGATGATGAACATGGTGTGAAGTGGTGTTGCCATTGGTACAGCTAATTCTGCATGCCGTAATTAGCGAGAGAATCTCGGCGAAAACTGTTCGAGTTTCGTTGGCTTCTACGACCAGTGTATATCATCAGTTTCTGATCACGAACTTAGCCGCGGCAGTGGCACTGGCAGTGGCAGTGGCAGTAGCCTTAGCAGCTGCAGCAGCTGCAGCAGCATTGGCAGGAGTAGTAGTAGTCGTCGTCGTGGTCGAAATGGCAGTGTGGTAGTGGCAGCGGTAGCAGCAGCGGTGCTGGTAGTGGTAATCGTAGTGGCAGTGGTACGGCTAGCAGCAGGAAGGTGGATTATGATTCTGTCGAGTGGAGACGTTGACAGTTGCGTTTTGGGCCTGGGTGGCAGGGGAAGTGGCAGGCCGCGCGGCGGCTTTGCTGGTACTGCAGATGCGATGCTGGCACGTGAATCATTAGTATGTATGGTTGTCGCTTGAACCTGGTGTCGGTTTCCGACGAAGCAATGATGATGCCTGCTGCCATTCTCAGCAAATGTGGGACAGAGTATCTATCCGTGCGGTCAGAATCGAGCAGCAGTGATGTACTAGTCGGTGATAGCCGCGAATGGCTTAAATCAAACATACCCCAAAACTAGTTTTGCAGACCGCCGCAAACAACCGGCTGCGGAGGAGTGCACGTGGAAAGTGGGTGAGAACGTGCAGTACTGGAGTGGCGTACCTGGATCTTCTCTTGTTTGGACAGTTTGCGGACTTGCAAGAATCTTGCCGTAGGACTATGACAAAGGCTCTTGCTTCACAATCGTCTGTTTGGGTTGGAGATGCGAGTTTGAGACCATCTTGAATCTCTATCTGGTTTCTTAGAAGCCCATCGCCACGGTTTGGCTGACATTCGTGTGCTCTCAGAGATCTCTGCTTCCCTCATCCCGAGCTTGAGCTTGTTAGCATTTGCTGCACCCTCCAACCTGCAGCACATGACTGAAACTGACTGGGTCATCGAGCAGAATAACGAGTCAGGTGCATCGCACGGACAGTGGATGGCTGCTGTGGTGCAGAAGATTCGAGAGGAATGGAAGGGACAGCTTGCACTTTAGCGGCGAAAACCACGGATCGCAACATAGTCATTGTGTCACATGGTTTGGCTGCAAGTTTGACGTTGGTCATGTGCTGAGTAGATCCTTGTCGAAGAACGGCAAGTCGAGAAGCTGCAGCATCACTGGTCCGTAAAGCTTGCCAGTCGTTGTCCCTGTTGAATGATGGGGAGGCGACTTCTTAAGCTGGACCGAAGCTCCTGCATGTTGTGTCTCACTGCCGAGTCCTGACCGCAGATGGTTTTAAATTTCCGACAGCAAGACGAGGATAGGACATGAGACCCACTCAGAGCACACAAACCCAGATGATGGGTGCATGTGCAGAGGGAACGAAGACGTCACTCTGAGCAGTAAGAACCCTTTATGTTTGCAGAGGCACAGAAGACCAGGTTAAGCTGGCAAGACTGATGTAGGGCAAGGGGCGAGAAAGACTGATGCAACCCGCTCTGCAAACCAAGCAATGATGTGCTGGCTGCTCTTAGTCTAGAGTGCCAATACACTGCCAGATCATACTTGCGGTGATGCTGATCACTACTTATGCCACGACGCCTCCTCCCTCTGTTGCTACCATTGCTACTATTTCTACGGCTGCTATTACCACTGCCACCACAATCACTATCACCATCACTACCACAATCACTACTACTACGAGGATGACGTATACTACTTTTACAGCTGCAGCTCCAGCTGCAGCTGCAGCTTCAGACACAGCCACAGCTGCAGCTGCAGCTACCGCCACTACTCATTGCCGTTGCCACTGCCATTGCCACTTAAGTGCTACTACCACCACTACTGCCATCACTAAATGGGTGCCAAAACTACCACCCACGACCACTATCCTTACCACTACAGCTACTTCTGCCGCTACCACTAGCACTACTGACACAAGTACCACAACAACAACTACTACTACTGCTACTTCTACTTACTACTACGGCTTCTACGGCTCCTACTACTACTACTACTACTACTGCCACCACTACTGCCACCACCACCACTACTACTACTACTACTACTACTACTACTACTACTACTACTTACTACTACTTCTACCACTAGTGGCACAATCATCACCACTACCAGTATCGCAACCACCTCTGCCATCACCACCACCACACTGCCGCCGCCGCCACCACCACCAGCACCGCCACCGCCACCACCACCACCGCACCACAGCTGCCACCGCGACCGCGATTGCAACTGCGATCACGACCACTACCTTTAACACCAACGCTACTGCCAACGTCGGTTATCACTACCATAACACCAGGGCTTCAGCGATCAATGCTACGACTACGACGGCTGCTAAACATTTTTTTTGCATTCACCGTTCTCGCACTTGCGCTTGTTACTGTTTACCCTGTTACGATCATCACTTGACCAAGTCAAGAACAACGAAGGAATGCCTCAAAACGTAGCCGTGCATAGTGTCATCTTAGAATGAATGCCGAGAGTCATAGAAGGGAAATTGCAGGATGCCTTCATCGACCTTGACATCAAGAATGGAGCTCGTCCTGAGCGCATACGAGCGATGCAGGCAAGATCGGAGTTGACGGTGCTTCTAAACGGTTTGGCCCTGCTTCTGTTGCATGCTGCGGCAAGTTGTGCTGTTGCCCAATCGGTGGTGCCTTGAAATAGAAAGCCGAGTCTGCCTCTTGCTGCGATGTGCAGATCGACTCAACCCAGTGAGATCATGAAAGGGGCCTAGGCGTGTCTATCGTCTCCGAAGACATTCACGCAGGAGAACGGTCTTCACGATGCAGCTTGCTGGCAGAGAACGGGGAAGGCTGCGAACTTTGTTTAGTCCAAGTGATGACGGCCAGCAACAACACAGATGCTAATCATGCCTGGCGCAGAACAGCGCATCCGTCGCTGAGTCGCAAGAATCCGTTATTTACATGCCCAGCCAGCATAATGACCATCCGAATCGAACAATCACAGCGTTCTCAGGTGTCTTGCTATTTCTGGGCTGTAAATAACGATAGTAGCAGACGTTGGACACCATGGCCACTGTATTCATCATCATTGCCAGACCAACAGTAATAACAGTATCAATCCAAACACGTGCGAAAATCACAGCAACACTACGAACCACTTACCATGAGCATCACCATCAGCGTCTTGTCTTCGTCAGCATGTTCGCAACTGCGATGCACGTCTCCATCATCTTCCAGCAGCATTGTCAGCAGTGCCGTTAGCACCATCCATCAGTGCAGCATCGTCTGCATCATCATTACTGTCATCACTGTCGATGATGACGATGCTGATGATAATGGTGATGATGAAGGTGGTCATCGTTATCATGTTCGGTAGGGCTGGTAGGTGTCCCTTTCTGTTGACGCGATTATTTTGTGGGGTCTCAGCGGAGTTGCCTTCTACACAGCATCTGCTGGTTGGAGCTTGTTTCCTGGTCTTTTTGATGTGAGGTGGAGAGTGCAACTTGCCTTGGGATGCCTCTCGCGGCTTTCTCGCTCGGACGAAATCCCTGCGGTACCACCGCCAGCTAGCGACATCGTGATCATCATCGTCATGATCTTCCGGTTGGTCATCTTCACAGGTACAGTAAGGCACGGCAGGCCTTGCCCTCGCGAAACTGAGGCTCCTCCCAACGTCAAACCGCGAGCTTCGCGAAAGAGCCACTCTGCATGCATTCACAGTGATAGAGGTCGGATAGTGTACGCCCAAGGCTTCTAGAGCTGGGTGCTTGACTTTCCGCATTGAGTTCAGGCGTAACATGCTCACGCAGCTGTGTGCATGATGGTTGGCTTGGAGGCTTGGCTGTGCCTTGTTGATAGTGGTTTGTGTACTTGTCGGAACGAGGGTCCCAATCCCAGCAGCGTCAGAATCAGGTGAAGTTCGCATGCCGTCCATCGTGGCCACCAGTCCGCCCATAGGCCTTGCATTGCATACCCGGGAGTGGACGTCATTGAGAATTGATGCATCACGTGCGCTTAAGCTCTCTCGATCATGGCCCAGATACAGTTTTATTGTGTCGGTTTTTTGTCCATCGCTTGAGGCATTAGGCCCCGCTTGAGCGAAGTTCTGGGGACATCAGCTTGTGACTTGAGAAATCCTCTGAAGCGCAATCCTCGGACATCTCAGATTCAACTCCACTCCTGCCCCCTACTACGCGCCCGTGCTAAACTTGTCAGTTGGACTCTCCTTTTTCCACAATGTTGTTTGGAACCAGGAGAGAGCACCGCACCGAGCAACTCTGAAAGGTCGCTAGCACAGAGTCTGATGACCAAGGCCTCTCTGCCAAGAAGCCTTTGGGCTCATGGGGTTTGCAGAACCAGTGTTTGGTTTCTACATGCACCGTTGCAAACAGTGCTGTCCTAGAAACAGAGGGTTCATGTATGGCCCGATGCAGGGAATGGAAAGCCACCGACCCCCCCACCAGAAGGCCCGCTGCAATGGCCTGCATTGATGTGGTGACAGCCTCTGTCTTGTGAGTCCATTGCTTTTCCTCCCAAGGGAGGCCTCCGGAGGAAGTCGGAGCAGTGGCGGGGCAGCCGGAAGGCCGCATGTGTGGAAGCGACAGGGCGTGACAGGGTCGTACGATGTCAACTTCACTATGTTCTTTGATGCCCCTTCGAGCCAATAAACACGAGTAATTATGTTGCATTGCACAGGAATAGAGCAATAGGAGAACGGCACGAGGATTTCCTACAAATTGGCAAAGCGCGCGCTGGGAATCAAGACGTGTTTTCACTGGCATTTCACGCTGCTTTCCATACAGCCGAATCCTTAAATCGTAGTTCCACGACCGCACTTCCTTCGTGGCATGTGCAGCTTACGCGAGCCTGAGTCGTTGTGAAACCGAAACCAAGAGTTCTCTTCAGATCACATGCGTACATACATACATACATCCATCCATACATACGTACACACATGCATACACACATGCACTCATATAAAAATCCATTCGTACGTTCGCACACTCGTACACTACACATCTTTTCTGCTACATACATGCATCAATGCAAGCAAGCAAGCAAGCAAGCAAGCAAGCAAGCAAGCAAGCAAGCAACGAATCACATATAATCAAAAAGCAAACAAGCAAACAAGCCCGCAAGCACCCAAGCAAGCAAGCAAGCAAACACGCCAACAAGCAACCAACCAAGCAAACAACCGCAAAACAAAAATCAAGCACAAAGTACAAACAACAGCAATCAAACGCACACAAACAAGCAAGCAAGCAAACAACCAAGCACACAAACAGACAAACACACAAATACACAACCAAACAAGCAAGCAAACAAGCCCAAAAACACACACAGTCGAATAACCACAGAATCAAGGACACATGGACAACCTAAGCCCTAAGCCAAACAAAAAAAACAAGCAAACAAACACACAATCAAAATAACAAACACACACACACAGAAACAAAAGCAACACAACAGCACACAGAAAAGCAACATCAAATACACACAAGCAAGCAAGCAATCAACCAATCAACCAATCAACCAATCAATCAATCAATCAACCAATCAATCAATACATTAATCAATCAGCCATATTTTCTTTTGACTTTGAGGTCACTGCTCGAGTCGTCAAGCCTAATGGATGTCGTGAGACAGGTGATGCAGACCCGGCCTATCATGTTGGCATGCCTTCGAGCATTCCCGCAAGAGAAATCGGCTCCGGGGTCTCCCAGCCGTCGACGAGGGATATAACCGAGCCTGTACAACATCTTGCTCATCTCGAGTGTAAAAGAGAAGATAGCTAGACCGGAATGAGAGCTTTGTCAATCTGACTCACGGGAATGCCATCATCTAGTCAGCCATACATACATACATACATACATACATACATGCATACATATACACACTGATACATTGCATCAATGCATACGCCAATGCACGCCATTCACTCCTTCTGCAGGGAAGCCCATGCACTGCTTTGACAGCGGGCGTGGTCCAGTTGTCCCACAAGAAGGCTGGCATTCGGCATTTCATTGGTTTGGGGGTCTAGGTTTAGGACATTGCGGTATTTGATAATATGACTGTTTCCGAAAGAGTGAACTGGACCAAGAGTTTCGAGAACTGAGCTGAGAGCTACTTTAAGAACGGGCTATGTAAGCAGCTCGTGCAGGGCAGTTTGCAGTACAAGAGTTGAACTGCACTGTTCAGCCAACACTAGGAAAACATCGTATACCGAGATTCGATCCAATGTGCCAAAGGGCCCTTCGTAAAGTCGCGCTTGTGGTTCGACACAGCATCATGTGGCGAAGACGGGTGCGACAGCATTACAGGGCTCGTGTGGCTCTTTGTCCTTGTCTTACTGTCATATAAACAAGAGGTCAAAATGCGCACTTTCGGAAGGCATAGTCGCATTTGAATATCCTGTTTTCGTCAGTGATAGCTACAATATTTTTGAACTGGACGTCGAAACGACTCGCAGGACCTAGTGACCTAGTTCAATCCTCTGACTGCACAGGGAGCACCAGTGCAAACTAGCCACTCGCCATTTTCCGTTGCTGACCGAAGGGAATGAGTCTGTCACCGCTGTCTCACGTTCACCCTCAGCTGCTGCTCCTCGTCATGCAAGGAGGGTTGCTGTTCGGGTTGAGCGATCGGTTTTGGGTTGTGTGCAGGGGATTTGTGGAGTGTTAACGTCACATGTCTGGATACCGGAGTCTCCTGGGTTTGGTTGTTGACCCGCTCAGGGAATGTGGTCCACAGCTCAGCTCGTTTTGTCGGCATTGCAGAAGCCACAGACAGCATGCACAGAGGGAGAGACAGGCCCTTTACTTCTTCTGCTTCAAGTCATCATCTACCTTTCCTTCAAGGCTTCAAGGTAAACGTGAGTGATCCGCTGGCAACGCAGGACTCACTCGGGCACGCGCTGCCCTTTAGTGTGGGAGCGGAAGGGTGGGGCATGGCTTCGTTGTTCGGCGAGATGCCCGCGGCTCCCAGAAAGAAGGGAACCGCAATCGAGCGAGGAGAGAAGGATGCTGCGTGACCATTCTGTTGCACCTGTGTCCTTGCCCAGATGACGGCAATGACCAGCGCTTCTGCTGACTCGCACGGATCTCAGAAATCAGCAAATGTGTCTTGACAACGCATGCAGTGTCTTCTCCGCTTGAAGTTGTGCGCCGAGCCGTACTGCTACAGCTTGGTCATCATGCAGGTGCGGTCATAGCTGCAGCCAAGCATGCTATGAAGCGCCAAATGCTCCGGCTCAAGCTGAACCTTGCCCGTCAACCCTAGCCAGACTCTGGCGGCTCTTTAGAGAGAGATGCGAGTGAATTCGCTGTTCACCATGCGGGAACGAGGCGAGAGAGCGCTACCACCCCCCACCCCATTCGATGGGGACAGCAAGCTGAGAAAAGGAAGAGCCCGCGAAAATTGCCTTCATGTTAGCTTCGCCACAGCAGCAGGCAGAGCACACGGTACTAGGAGAGGCCTACCCGGGCAGCTGTTACGGGTTCCGAGCCTGATCCGGAGCGAGGCAGGGTGCAACGCTGAGACAGACTGCAGTTTGAGCCACGGCCTCTTACAACAGCTGATGAAGTGCAGAAGGTTCCAGCCTTTCTTACAGAGATGCAGTCCCTGCCGCGGCGTCGAGATCTGCAGACAGAAGTGCAGCAGGACGTGCCACTGGAGACGACGCTACAAGAAGCTCTAATGCTTGCCATAACAGGCAGCAGGACAAGGACATCTACCGGCGCCCTTGGATGGACATGAAGTACTTATTGCGCTTTAGCCTTGAAACCTTGTCGTGGTTCTATGTGCTGGTCTTGGTCGATGGTTAGGGCCCCTTCTCCTACAACGTGCTTGTCTTGGTCCTGTGCATCTTGGATGTTCGCTTCCATAAGGGAAGATGTCTGGATTCTGGAGAGTCTGACATTTGTTGACATGTATCAGCTGTGTGGTTTTGCTTGCTGAGGTTGGCACCCGCGGTCTGACCGGTGCTTGCAACCAGTCCCACGTATTCCAATTTTTGCACAGGCTCGGCCGAGGCTTATCCCCAAGGGAAAGGCAAAAGCGGCCGCAGCCAAAGCCAAGGCGAAAGCCAAGGCAAAGGCTAAGTATTTTCAAGCACCCCCTAAGGGGGCCCGCTTTTAAATAATCCTTGTGCCACTTTTTTTCTCTATCACTCCATTTGTCTATGTATCATTTCCTTTGCTCGTAAGTCATCATCTAACTACATGTCTATGTACTTTTGGTGCAGGGCCAAACATGCCTTTGCCTTTTTCTTGCATGTGCACGCTTTTTTTTAATTTCTTTTTCTCTGGGGTCTCCGATCGGGGTTTCGTGTTTAGTCTGATTGACGTCTTTTTCCTTGCGAGGGGTACTTGTTCATGGAATCTAATGCTAGGGGATCTAGATGCGTAGGTCGCCTTAACATTGTCCTTCTAGTAGATCGGGGACCCGGGGTAGTAAGGTCGGGGGTTTGTCCGGAGCGAGGTTCGCCTCCAGATGCCGAGGACAACCCCCCGACCAGAGCGCCCCTTGTACATATTGGGGACCGTACTGTGGTTGGTTTATTGGGATGTGTATGGTATGTGTACTAGAGTTCATCAGTAGGATCCTAGATGCAGTGGGGTATTTAGTTATTGTACAATTCGGGGTTGGGTAGTTTTTCTGGTTGCGATGTCGGTCGATCTCAGCGGCACGGAATTGATGCCTTGGGTGCTTGAGATGCATGCAGATGTAGATGGCGATGTGCTGCGTCATTTTGTCGAGACAACTCAGAAATTGGCTCCTGGCAGCAAGGCAGTTCCCATTGCCACGGCGGCAGAAGGTGTCCCGCATGGAACACGGGCCGAGTACTCGTTTGCTCACCAAAACGAGTTTTAGGCCAAGTGTGCTGCCAGCAAAGGCTGCAGAAAGTGACGACGTATTGTGGTCTTCGAGGGGATGCATCCCTGAAGAGGTGCATGCATTCCTGCCAGTATTTTCAGCACAGATTCCCCAAGAAAGTGGACAGCTGTGATGTGGATGTGGGCCAACTCTGACATTGTTCCTTTGGTCACATGTTGGTCAGCTTAACGTTGAAGTCCCTACAGTTTGACCCCAGGATTCACATGACAACTCTGTGCTTGCGAACCAGGAACTTTGTTTAGCCGTGTAGCCTTTAGCCAGTCCGAGTGTGAGGGCACCAGTTGCCATCTCGATAAAGCGTTGTCGTAAGTAGCCTTGCTGCGTGTCTCGCAGAAGATCTTGAGATGCCCCGGAGCTGAGAAATAATGTGCTGCAGAACGTTTGCCCGGGCAGATTCGGGGCTTCATTCTCATTCCGAGGTCACCCGTTGCTGGCAGCAGTGTGGCCAGCAGCAGTACGGTGTACAGGCCCATTGCCGCTCATGGCTCTGTGGTGAACCGACGCGAGTTGCCGAATTTGCCCACGCTCATCTGCAAACACGTGCCAGGGTGCGAGATCAGTTTGTCCCCACCGTGTTTGACCAGGAACCTCCCAGCTGAAAAGTTGTTCCTGGGCACTGGCTTGGAGAATGTCATCCGAAGGAAGCCCAAGCGAGGTGGGGCTTCAGCTGACTTGATTTTTGCCGCAGCTCTTCGAAGTTGTGTCACTGGCAAAATGCCCAGATCACGAGTATCAGAACATGTGCCAGCACAGGCTCCGACAGTGTTTTCATCTCCGGGCCACTGGCAGGTCAGCCTGGGAGGGAGGGACGCCTTACCTACCCTGTGCCAGCTCCATAGCAGCTCATTCCCCTAAGTCCCAACGTGCCAGGTGGAGAGATCAGGTTTTCCGGTGAGTTCGATGCTGCAAGTGAAGAGCCACTTGGTTTCATTTTGCGGGGCGTCGCAGTCCGCAGAGTCCAGAGGCTGAGGCATACCGGGTCCACGAGGTTACCTTCCTGCCGGAGAAATGAGATACCACTTTTTCAAGAACGCTTGCTCGTGATGCTGAATGCAAGTCCAAGGGTTCGACAGCAGCTTCTTTCTGTCCTCGGCTTCAGCCTCTTGGCAGACTCGGAGCCACTCTGCTTGGGAGCCTTGGGGTTCGTGGTTGCGGCTTGACGGTCTTTTGAGGACATCGCATCGAGGCTCGTAGTAGTTGCAACGGACTGAAAAAGCGGTATGTGTCACAGGAGGGCCAGCAGCTTCCACCCCGTGCGTGCATAGCCAGAGAAATTCACTGCCATGCATGATGCCTGCTCCACGGTGGCTCTTTTGATTGAGCTATGACCACAGGCTCCAGACACCCGCGTGACCAAAAGGCATGAACTGCAAACCGTACCGCTATTTGCAGTTGTGACGATGGAGCTCTTAGGAAGTGGACCTACAACTCTTGTAGCTGATGCATGATGATGCACTAAAACACCCCGCCATCCCACGAGAGGTAGTTGGGGAGGTCCGGTAGCTGTAATCACTCTAAGGTGCCAGATCAAAGGTGGAGAAGATGCTTGGCTTTAGCGGAGGCTGGAGACACAGCTTACGCTTCACTTGATATACATGAGGAGATGGGCGGGCAACCATCTCGGGAAGAATGTGGTGTTGAGAAGAAGTGGCCCAAGACAAAGAAGCACCGGGAACAGTGCGACACTATAAAGCAGGCTGTGGTGTGATACGTGCTCTTCGCGAGTTTCGGACACACGTTGGGTTCCGAGCAGATTCATGTGGTGGCAGTGCTTCAAGCGGTACAGGGAGCGGAGTTGCCTCACTGCTCTACTCCCACCTGCCCCAACATTCGCGAACACGGGTTCCCGCAAGAGCCCATTGTGACGCCTAGGATACCAGGCTCGTAGGGAATTGAATCGTTCTGATTCGCATTTGCCCGATCTGCGGAGTTTTGTCCTAACCAAGGGAGGATGGTCATTGTTGCATTCGTCGGCAATCGCTGGTTGTAGCCATTGATGGGACACGCTGCTCGATGATGATGATAATGATGATAATGATGATAATGATGATAATGATGATAATGATGATGATGATGATAATGATGACGACAATAACGATGATGGAGATCCTGGCTTTGGTGCTCGTGCTGTTTTCTCGTCTTCTGTTGTGGTTGCCGTTGATTGTGGTGGGTGTCGTGGCGACTGCCATATTTGCATTTTGTGATTGTTATGTTCATGATTCGCAGTCGTGTCTACTGCTGCACTTGGCCAGGTCTCAACCATGGCATTTGGTTCCTTTCTGGGACCTGTGGTGAGGTTGGAAGCGACTACGAGGCCGCTCTTGCAGGGATTGTCAGGCTGATTGAGTGTGTGATGCATGTTTCGGGCCGTATACACCCTTCCAGTCTGAATGTGATGGGTTTTTGGTTTGTGGGCTACCGGATGCCTGAAAAGGCGCCACCACAGGCGTCGCCATGTGCGGGTACGTAATGCTGTGAGGTGTCGCCCCACTCGCCGGGCTGCCTTCTCAAAAATTCTTGCAGGAACTGGTGCTGAAGCTGGTTCGGTGTCATCGCATCGCCGACAATGCGCGGACCTCGACTTCAAGCCTTGCCTTGGACACTGCTTGATGCCACTTCGCTGCTTGCCATGTGCTTCTAGTCAGGTTCCCACAGAAGCCGAGAACCTTGTGAAGGTTCACCGCGAGCACTCAAGCATTAGCAACCCCGGCAGAAAAGATTGGTGTGGTTTGAGCTCACCTCTTGATCATTGATCTGTCGCAAATTCACGAAGTAATGGGCAGAGGGGCGGGCATGTTTGACTTCTGGCAGTGGTGCAGCGAGATTCCACCGGAAGCTGCAGAAAAGGAACCAACATGACGAGACACTAGGAGTGGCTGCTGGCTGTGCGGAGGTAAGGATGAGATCCTCGCCTTTCCCATCAAAATCTTCAGCAGCTGACCTCAAGAGTCTGGGGGAAGCTCAGTTAGTTGCAACGATCTTCATCATCAGAGACGCTACGGAAGTTCCGAGAAGCAAGGGCATGTGAATGCCTCCCAGTTTCATGTACCTGAATGCAGCGTGCAACCTCTTCGCATTTCGGCTGCTTCGGAGAGGGCCAAGAGAAGAAACAGCCGAGTTCCTTGAAGTGTCCCGTCATCGTCCCTGGTACTAGATCACATCTCCTGTCTGACCCACGAAGTCTTTGTGCGAGTCTCGCTATGAAGCTGACACGGACGGACCATCCGCCGTTTCAATCTCACGTCCTCACCCCCGAGGCTGTTTCGATGGGCCCACGAAGAAGCACGATCTTATTGCAGGGCACTCGGTAGCCGAAGCAAGTTCCAGTTCCATTGCAAGGCTTCAAGTGCCATGACCCCCGGGCTTAGGGAGCTTGCAAATCCTTCGCTCTCGATGACCCCGAAGTTACAGAACTTCCAGGCTGTTGAGGACACAGCTCCCACCCAGGTGATGCGAAAGGTCCCCGGAGAGCGACTTGCCGAAGTCATTTGCCGGAAGTTCTACAACAACCAGGCCAGGCTCGTGGAAATCTTCACTTCAAAGGTTGCCAGGCTCCGAGTTTCGGTAAACGGCGGCACATCGAGGCCTGCATCGCGAACTTGTGACATTCAACACCTGTCAAGTCAAGCTGTTCAGGACTGGTAGGTATGACCGTGATAGGCTCCATGCTGCAAACAGCTTCTTTTTCTAGCTGTGCTACTGCGAGATCCACGCAGTTGGCTTTGCTGGATGCCATTTTCGAGAACCTCGGTGCAACTCTGGCTTCGTTCCACGAGCGCTACGGCAAACAGCATGGGGACGGCTGACTGTGCGGTGAGCATGTTGCAAGCCGAACTTTTTTGGTGAGGCTCAAGACTACGTGCATGATAGCTGGACTTGATTAGATCAGCTAGCAAAGACGTTTCTAACAACAGGAAGCGCGGAGCCGTTGTGCACTCGGATGAACAGTCCATGTTTCGGTTTAGAAGAGATCGATAGGCTGGGATGTCTCAGCCGGCCGAGTGTGCAGTTTCTTGACATTGAAACCGGCGTCTCTGAGCGTGCGATTGCTGTGGTGCAGTGAAATCAAGTGTGTGTGTGTATATATATATGTGTGTGTGTGTCTCTGTCTGTGTGTGTGTGTGTGTCTGTGTGTGTCTGTGTGTGTCTCTGTGTGTGTGTGTGTCTGTGTGTGTGATACTTGCTGGGACTTCATGGGCAGCTGCCAAGGTTTGACGCTGTACCAGCCTGGCTGTTGAAGCCTCGTAAAATCCGTATCTCATCTCATAGTTCGAATTTCACGCGACATGCATGGTGTTGCTCCTTTTTCTTGGCTGAGCTGCTACAACAGCCCCAGAAGCTACAACAGATGTTTGGCCACAAACGAGATACAAATTGACAAAGCATCGGCCAAAATTGTGCGCCGTGTATTCGAAAGAATCGATACGACATGATACGACGATGACGGCGGCAGTCTAATTACTGCTGCTGCTCCTAGTGCTAGTAGCACTACCACACAACTGTTGCAGCTGGTTTGGTTGCGAGGTTTGCCCTGTTTTCATGATTGTTCCCTGCCCCCTGAATCCCCCAGTGACATGCAGGACTTTCAGCCATCAAATATCTTCTACGACGATGCCACGGACGATATTTACTTTATTGTCCCTTCGATGCACTGTTTGAAGAGCATGCCCCATGAAAAGGAACTCACAGAAGCGACCGTTGCAGACATCGGTGAAGCTTCATCCCAGCATGTGCCACTTTTTTTCGCCACACCCATCTCTGGCCTGGCTGCCTAAGTGCCTTCCTACTTGCCCGACCTGCCCACTTCATGTCGTTCATTTGCACACCGCTCAATCTCAGCAGCTGCCCTTCCCCCTCGTCTGAGGATATCGGCGGCATGGGACTCCCCACGTCGGACACCGATGTGGAGCTTTGGAGTGACGAAAGCAAGATTGTGTCTTTTGTTTATTGGTGCAAATATGGTACAGTATTACGGGAAGGGAGGTCAGTACCAAGCCCAAGGCAGCAATAGAATGCTGGGGCCAATCATGGCTGGGGCTTTGCGAGCACCTGAGGAGCATTTCCGAGGAGCGATGACCCTTCTGGCGGGCGCCTACAGCCCGACGCTGCCTGGCCCCTACGGCAAGTTGCCATTGTCACTCAGAGCTCGACAACCGAAGCAAGTCTGAGCCAGTCTGGAGGCACGAAGAGCTTGCCGAAGCCTTTCAAAGAGGCTATGGCCCTGCCTGACACTGGCGTGCCCTACTTGCATGCAGTTGCAGAAGGATGGTTCCAACATGCGCCATGGAGCGGGAAGGTAGCTGTTCCCTCTGCAACCTGATGTTGCGATACTCCGAACTGTTGGGTGTTCTGGATTCTGGTTGAGTGCCCGAGCCTCACCGGAGTCGGAGATGCCCTTCCAGCTATGAAGACCTTCGTCGCCAGGTAAATTTCATCAGTACTCTCTCATCCTTGAAATCAGAGTTGAAGCTTGATTTGGCCTGCACGTCTACTGAGGCGAATTGGGGTTCAGGCCCCGTCTCCGTGAATGCATCCGGATAGATGATAGGGCCGGAGCCAACGCGAAAGTGGTGCGGGGTTCGTTTCCTCACAGAAGCGAATTGAACATTGCTTCGTGGTGATGTATGTGGAGTGAAACCAGACACGGCGTAGCAACTCAAGACAGACCGTCCCTTTATTCGCGCTACATCCATCTCAGCTTCAGTGTATGCCAAGTATTCCACCCCGTACTCACGACGACATATTAGGCCGTCCTGCGTTCCGCCACCTCCGTGGCAAAAAAACCTAATTATACCCCAGGACGAGGATGCAGAAACCTAGCATGGCTATGGTGAACTAGCCTTCTCTCAAGCTTTAGGTGGAGTGCAGACACTCAACCTGCTGGCAAGTAGTCCGGTCCTGACATGTACTTCCGGCTTGAGTTCGGTTTTGGGCTATGCAATCGGGAAGTGCTCCGTGCCACATGGCTCCCACCCTGCAGGGCTCTCTTTTCTACAGGAACTGCGACAGTCACAGCAATCTGATGCTTGTATTGGTGGTTCGTCCTGAAGCCAAACCTGTTCTTGCTGACTTAGTGCAGCAAGATAGTCAGCTCGTGGCTGGCGCAGAGCTAGGGGAAACGGTGCCTAGCCTCCGCAGTGGACTCGGTCAACAAGCTCCGAGCAGGGAAGAACTCAGCTGTAAGTGTCAAGGCTAAGGGCAGCTTAATGAGTCCGGGAGAGACGGGAATGTCAAACTGATGAGCTGCACGTCTCTGGCACAGCCACTGCGGATGAATCTGCACACGTAGCTCTGGAACTTCCCTGAACATCCACAGAGCACAGAGGTTCAGGAACAGTCATGACTTCTTTGGGGCGAGACCAGCCAGAGCTGCGGCTGTTTCACATCTACCAGAGGGCACCAGACTCTCGGAGACGGCTTCAGGGCGCCTGGCGGGTCATTTGGGGGGTGTCAATATATGGGGCATGAGGAGGATCGCTCTACCAGTGAACGAGGAAGACAGCAAGTCCGATGAAGTCCGAAGCCTTTTGCATGCTCCCGACTTGATCCGAGCCTAGCCCATTGAGCGACCTTGACCGTGCCAGACGAAAGACAGCCGCATTGTTGTTGACACTTGTTCGAGTTCTTGTCATTGTATGTTCCAGGAAAGAAATTCACAAAGGGTGGAAGAAAAACAACATCCTACTTAAATGAGACTGCGGCTGTGAGAGCAGACGGATGTGGATGACCTGATGGCGCTGGAGCTGACGCTTTGCCTTGGCCCTGCACATCGGCTCAGGTTCAATGTTCTAGCGAGTCACACGGGACATGCACAAGCATCTGCGCAGCCAGTTTTTGAACAAGTTGCACAAGGAGCCTGCGAAATTGCATGTAGAATCACTTAGCCGATCGCCAGCATGTGTTCGTAACTTGTTGAGTGAACCTACATTCGCTTTCCAAGAAGCTTTCGCAGAACCAACACCACTTTTGCATCGATGCTTTTCTCGTCCTAGCCTGATGTTGTAACCTCTGAGCTTTCTTGCCGGGGCCAATGTCTTCGAGCCCGCAATGGGTGCCGGATGCATCCGTGCAACCGCAGCCGTCTCGTCGCCACTAGACACCACCATTCGCAAGGGTTTGATCTACAGAGCCGTGCTGTGAAGAAGTCAGAAGCCTGTAGTCTGCAGCAGCCAAAAGCTTTAAGACCGAAGGTTTCGAGCTTTCCCGTAAAACTGTCATTCTTGACCTTTCGCGCGGACGACACAACCCCTCATTGCCGAAGATTCTTGCAGTCCGCGCTTCCTGTTGATTGATGCGCATCATGTCAGGGAGCGCTACAAGCTTACGATTGAGCCGCCGCCGACGGATGGAGACGATGTTACGGCAGCCACTCCTGCCACACCCAGTGCAGAGTCAGACCCTCAAAGCTTTGCGACAGTGGCTTAGTGTTCTCGGTCATGTCCTAGCCGCTGCAAGGCTATTTGCACGGTGATGTTTGTTGCTTTGGTTTCAGTGCTCACCAGTGGCCAGCAGACCCGGTGCACAGCGGCGGATGCCTGCCAATTGGTCGTTCTTATCACTTTCAACAACAACACAATTTCAAGGCTTTGTTATGAGCGCATGTTCTCTGCCAACATCAGAAACGCAAGGCTTTTTGTGAACCCTTGGCGTCCTCCAACAACAAAAATGCAAGGTTGTGTTGTGAGTGCTTCTTCTCTGCCAACATCAACAACGCAAGGTTTTTTGTAAAACCCCTGCCGTCCTCCAACAACAGAAATGCAAGGTATTTTGTAAACCGACTGTAAAACCTTGTCGTCCTCCACAATAAATGAAAGTGTTTTGGTAAACCCCTGTCGTCCTCCAACATCAACAGGAAGGTTGCTGGTAAACGCTAGTCGTCCTTCAACATTAAAAATGCAAGGTTTCTTGTAACCCCTTCTTCAGTACTTCTTCTCCGCCAACATCAACAACCCAAGGTTTTCTGTAAAGCTTCGTCGTCCTCCAACAACAAAATGCAAGGTTTTTTGTAAACCCAACATCAGCAACGCAAGGTTTTTTGTGAACCATTGTTGTCCTCCAACGACAAAAATGCAAGGTGTTTTGCACGTCCTGGTTCTCTTCCAACATCAACAGCGCAAGTGCAGCGCAAGGTTTTTTTTGTGAACGCCTGTCGTCATCCTATAGCAAAAATGCAGGGTTTGTTCATGTAAGCGCCTGTTCTCCTCCGACATCAACAACGCAAGGTCTTTTTGTACACCCAGTCGTCCTGCAACAACAAAAATGCAAGGTTTTTTTTGTAAACCATTTTTCTCTTCCAACATCAACAGCGCAAGGTTTTTGTAAGCCCCTGTCGTCCTCCAACAAAGCTGCAAGGTTTTTTTTTGAATAGCCTTGTTTTACTCCAACATCAGCATCGCAAGGTTTTGGTACACCCCTATCGTCCTCCATCACAAAAATGCAAGGTTTTTTTTGTAAACCCCTCTTCTCCTGCAACATCAACAACGCAAAGGTTTTTCTGTGAACCGCTGTCGTCCTTCAACAACAAATATGCAATGTTATTTGTAAACCATTGTCGTCTTCCTTCCGACAAAAAACAAATTTATGTGAAAACCCGAGTTTTCCGCCAACATCAACAAGGCAAGGTTTTTTGTGACCCGTTCTTGTCCTCCTTGTTGTAAACCCTTGCATCCAGTCATGCAGCGAGTCCGTCGGTCCGTGGAGTCCGTAAAGTTCCTTACATACGCTGGGTCGGTATCCGTGCAACGGGTGAGTCATGGATGAATGTTGTCAGCATCAGCTGTGACGAGAATTATTGGGCTTCACCCAAGTGAGGAGCGCTTGGTCTAGTTTATTTGTTGCCGCTAGCTCCAAGTCTTGGTTTGCGGCCCCATCTTCATCATACGCCAGGGTCCAGAGGCCTGCACGAGTTTTCGTGTTCATGCCGATTTAGAGCAGCCAACAACGATTTATAGGTTTTCTTTTTTGAGTGGAACCACAATTGTCAGCTAGAAAGATTCATCTAGCTTATTTCGGTGGGTATTGTAAAGGTACATTTGTGTTGCTGTTGCCGAATGTTGTCGAGTCTCACTATCTTCTTCTGTGGCGATGGCTGGTGCATCTCCTAGCTCTAAATGTTGCCACATCGATGTCTCGTCATGTGTATCAACATCTGGTGCTCTCCCTGGTATGTTATTTCTACACCCATGACCACGACCTTCGATTGCATCCTCGTTTCTCCGGGCCTTTTTGCCGCTTCCCTCCGAGGCCATCGGCCGCCGCCGCCAGCCCACCCAGCTCGCCTTGCGGCAGTCGCTCGGTGGGGGAGCTCAAGGCCGGGGCAGGGGGAGAGCACTTCGACTTCAAGTCCCCGTAAGAAGAGAAGAGACTGAGAGAAGAGAGAGAGCGAGGGAGCGCGAGTGTGGGATTCAGGGCCATTTACGAATGATTTACGGCGTGTCCAGCCATGCACACCGACCCCCAAAGACAAGGGCGCACAGGCTTGTTTTGTCGCCCTTGAGCTTTGCTGAAGAAGGGAGGGAATCTTGGATACAAGTTTGAAGGATTTGAGGGGTTCAGCGGTTAAGTGGTTTTGGTTGTAGGGTTTCGTCGGTGAATTCGTCGAGGGTAGGATTCGGTGGCTTGCACAGCGTTGTGTAGGCCTGTCCGATGGTCTTGAAAGCTCACTCACAGTAAAGTATTTCCATCGGAGAAATATCGAGCAGCCGCAACAGCCAGAACAGAAGCAGCCACCGACGTTGCAGTAGCCTTAGGACCCATGGTACATAGAGTCGAACGGGTATTTCTATGAAGCCCCGTATCGGAGGCAACTTTGAAGGACATGGGCTGGAAGCTGCCTGCCAATGTAGTAGAGCATCTCGGTGACACTGGCAGCAATTGACAAGAATCAGTCTAGAGTGCCGCATAAGAGCTGGCTGGACCAAGGTTTGTACCACGTGCGCCGGTGCTTTGGTAGTTGCCGTGTTTGTTGTGTTCGACAGAGGCGTTAAGTGTAGCCAAGTGCAGCCGACAGCGGTTTGTCCAATAACTAAGCTGCTCTGCCGAAGATCATTCGGGGATTGGCTGTTGGTGCCGAGGAAGAGTGAGCTTTTGGCTCTAGTCGAAGAAGCCGAAAAGCAGAAGGCCGGGAAGTCATCGAAGATGCGCAGAGACTTAAGAATTGGGATGTCCTTGCATATGACCTTCAGCTTCAGTGGTATGTAATGAGTTTTTTGATTTCTTAATGCTAGTGG